AGAGAAACGTTAAAAATAATAATACCAAGACTACAGCACTCGTAAACACTTTCTGGGGGGGAGGGGGGAGAAACCCCACACCCCCCCCAACCACATTAATCTACACTTCTGTTGAACTAGTTGTTGTCCCCCGTCAAGAGAGGCAGGGACGGTTTGCAGGGAGAGGGGTGGACGGAACAGGGAGAAAGAGGGAGAGAGAGTGTGTGTGTGGGATGGGGGAAGAGAGGAAGGCGCTGGGAGGGGGTAGGGAAAGAGGATGGGGGGAGGGGGAATGGAGGGGATGGGTGGAGCCGGTGGGGTGGGCTTCTATTTTTCACTGCACTTTGAGGACACACCATCAAAGCTTGTTTATCGGGTGTGGGGGTGTGGGGGTGTGGGGGTGGGGGGGGGGGCAACCTCATGGATTGGCAAAAAAAAAAGGACTGGGGGGTGGGACTGGGGGGGGGGGAAAAGGATTGGGGAGTAGGGGAAAAGGACTGGGGAGTAGGGGAAAAGGACTGGGGAGTAGGGGAAAAGGACTGGGGAGGAGGGGAAAAGGACTGGGGAGGAGGGGAAAAAAGACTATGGAAAAGGGGGGGAAGAACTGGGAAAGGGGGGGGGGAAAGGACTGGGGAAGAGGGGGGGGAAAGGAATGGGGAAGAGGGGGAAAGGAGTAGGGGGAGAGAGTGAGGGGGGGGGGGGAAGAACTCGACGTGTTCGGATGCCTCGGGGGGGGGTCTGGGGAGTTTTTCAGATTCGATAATGCCGCGGATCTGTTTACATGACTCAGCATCATTCATCCCCCCAGCCGCCACGACCAATTCTCCCATGCCTGGATCCTGCCAGGTTTATGCCCGACTCTCGCTGCTCAAACGATGCTATGAACATTTTCTCCAAAGATCCCCCCCCCCCTCTCTCTCTCTCTCGGTTACAGCATCCAGCGGTGATTACAGAAGATACTGTAAGATTACTGGACTGAGGACAGTCTCCAGATCCTCAGTTCGAATCTGGTGCTTCTGACCCAGAATAAACAATACTTACCTATCAGTGCTGACTTATTAAGTGCCTACGGGAGAAGTTATCTTCTTGAGGTTATCTTGAGATGATTTAGGTGAGATCTAGCTCTGCATGTCAGGTTGTGTGGGGGGAAAACAGCGGAAATAACAGGTTAATTAATGCCTTTTGGACAACTCGGCTCTCCCCTACAAGAAAATGTACCCACCACCATGCCCATGTGGTAAATACTGGTACGGGCTAGACGGTAGAGCGACGGTCTCGCTTCATGCAGGTCGGCGTTCAATCCCAGACCGTCCAAGTGGTTGGCCACCATTCCTTCCCCCCCCCCCCGTTCCTTCCAAATCCTTACTTTGGTCCCTTCCAAGTGCTATACAGTCGTAATGGCTTGGCGCTTTCTCCTAATAGTTCCACTGCCTTCCTCCTTTCCGAGCACTCTAAATTTCAGGCCACATTTCTAACTAGCAGGCCTGGCTAGAGACCGGGCCGCGAGGACCTTGATCCCCGGAAGCTTAGCTCTACGCGACTCCCGCCACATCCTTCAAGACATAAATCTATGATCAAATGACAAGCACAAAATCCTAACTATTTGTTTATTTCCAACCATATCCCGTTGTGTTATTCACGCTCCTCCCTTCCCTCTTCCTCTCTCTCTCTCCCACTCTCCCCCTCTTCCTTATTCACTCGTCATCTTCACCCGTCTTCGCGAATTCCTTCCGCTCCTCCTACATTTCAAGGAACTCGAATACGCTCTCTTCAACAATCTGCTATTCTCCATTCATTCAGCATGTTCAAACCATCCCAGTACGCTCTCACCAATCTTGGGGTTCAGTGACTTTCCCACTAAACACATCTCCATTAAAGTTCCATTCCTTCCTCTGGTCTCCACAACACCATACATGTTTATCAGATTATAAATTTTTTCCTCTTAAATCTTGATTTTTTTTCACACCATCAAACATACAAATGAGTAAACTTTGTTACTCCATAACAGTCCTTTTTCACACCTTAATAAGACTTTAAAAAAGCCTATATATCTTTATTTCACAATGACAAAAAAAGAACTGTTCCATCCGCATTCATCAAATGCCATTATTCCGGTCACTCAGGCCTATACATAATAGATTTATGAGCCTCCTGAAAATCCTTACTTGGACATCCCCCGTGAATCAGAATTAAGGAATCAGGGGCGGGTTGGGAACTCAGGAGACGAGAAGGAGAACCAAACAGATGTCCCCTCAAAACTCCCTATCACTATCAAGGAGACCAAGACTACAACACTCGCCCCCTCTACACGTAAGGGGCATAACTACCCGGCCTCTCACGGGGTTCAAAAGAGTACTGATAAACAACCCGTCCTTTTAAAAATAACGTCACTATTCGCTCGTATGCGCGCTATGGCCAAATTTGGACGTAATTTGAAATGAAATCGACTCACAAAAGTGACGTACTGTCCCGTTTTCTGTTTGAGTCGTCCGGCTTACTCGGAAAGGTTAGAAAAGGAAACTTTAAATTAACGTTTCTTATAACGTTTTGAAATTTTATGAGAATTTCCTGCCCACCTAACCTATCAGAGGACCCTTAACTAACTGTTGTTGAAAAAAAAAAATCCCAAATTTATTTTCATTTTTTTTTCATTTTCAAATTACGTCCACTTTCGGCCATACGGGCAAACGGACAAAAGCGACGTTATTTTTAAGAGGACAGGTTGATAAACACCTCCTAAGGATTGGTGATAAATCAGGCAGTGATTCACACGTCAAAGGTCAGTGATAGCTTGTCCATCGCGCTCAATTCCTAGTTTCATGGACATCACTACTTCAGAGTCACTCCCAGAAAACAGAAACAAAATCAGAGTTGACCAGACCACACACTAGAAGGTGAAGGGACGACGACGTTTCGGTCCGTCCTGGACCATTCTCAATCGACTTGAGAATGGTCACACCGAAGCAGTCATATTCACCAAGTATATGTAATTGGTCAACTAGCACTCTTCTGACCCTTGGCCACTGGGTTCTGGACTCATTGACACTACCACACACTCTCAAGGTTGTCAGTTATCAAATTCAGCGCCTCAGTGTGGCGATCCAGAGAGGAAACTCCTGCTGTCTCCTTGGTTCATATCCTGGCAGTGAAGAGCTCCAAGACACTCACAACCTTTGACCAGTCATTGTAATTACCAACTTTCAGGCAGTCCCCGTGGCGTAGTGGTAAGACACTCGCCTCGCACTTCGCGAGCGATTTGCCCTGGGTTTGTTTTCTGGTCGGGTAGGATTGACTGGGCGCCAATCCTTAGCTGTAGCCTCTGTTCACCCAGCAGTGAATGGGTACCTGGTTGTTAAACAATTTGGCGGGTCGTATTCCAGGGAAAATTAAGATTAAGGACCTGCCCGAAACGCTATACGTGCTACTGGCTTTACAAGAATGTAAGAACTCCTAAATATATATATATATAAAACGTGTCTATATCTATCTCCCTCCCTCCCCTCCCCCCACCGCAGACACAGATAAGACACACACACACACAAGGTGTGTGGAAGGTTGGTAAGGGAAGGAAAGGTAGACAAATGGAATGCATTAGGAAGTGATGTGGTGGAGGCTGACTCCATACACAGTTTCAAATGTAGATATGATAGAGCCCAGTAGGCTCAGGAACCTGTACACCAGTTGATTGACAGTTGAGAGGCGGGACCAAAGAGCCAAAGCTCAACCCCCGCAAGCACAAATAGGTGAGTACAAATAGGTGAGTACACACACACACACACACACACACACACACACACACACACACACACACACACACACACACACACACACACACACACACACCATCGTCCTACGCTATGTAAACAACTCTCTTCTTCACTCATGACACAAGCTGCCTCAGTAATCATCGTCAACGCTCTCCCGGCCTCATTCCTCACAGCACCACACACCTCCACATCACACAGACCCCCACAGACCGACCCACTCCCCCACAGCACAAACAACTGAACAGCTAAATAACATAAATAACATTCCCTGTTCACCCTTCACTTCTCCCCCGCCCTCACTCCCTCTTTCCCCCGCCATGAAGGAAAGGGGAGAAACTTCCCACCACCCCCACGAGCGCCGGGTTCCAGGCTATGATTGCGCCGGTCAGTCCTGGAAATCCTTCTGGAGTCCCTGGATGGCCATTCGTCTGGAGGCGGCCGCGCATTTTTCACTGGTCACGTGATCGGGTCCAGTAATTGCTTACTTTCAAAGCGGTGGCAGGCGCCATTTTTAATATCGCCAATTTTGTCCGGGGTGTCGACAGTGGGACCCTGGCGGGCACACTCACACATTTTGAGTTCCTTTGTTGTTTGTTGGGTGGGGGGAGGGAGCGGGGGGGGGGAGAGTGGGTGGAGAAGGAAAGGGGGGGGGGGTTAAGAGTAGTGAGAGGAGAAGGAGAAGAGAGTTAGGAAAGCAGAGGCACATTGTTGGGTGGTGTTTCCTTTTCCAGCTATGTTTTCTCCTCCTCCTCATCCTGATTTCCTTAAAGTCAAACACACTCAGAAACAGAAATTCCCTCTCAACCTCTGATTCCTTAAAGACTTTTCTGATTCATGCCTCTTGGAAGAATTTCGGGGGTTATTGTCATTAGTTTCTTTGGAGTTGAGACTTGCGCAGCTTCCCCCCCCCCCCCCTTGGGCCCATTATGTTCAGTGCCCTCTGAACAACCCTTCCATCCCCCTCCCAATGTCCTCAGTTCATTCCTTCTTTAATCTTAATATTTAAACGACTCTCGCATCCTTTTTACTATCAAGGGTAAATACTGGTGATCAGTTTTCCTTCGGGCAAACACTCTCAAACATGTTCAAAGATCCTGAACCCATTATGGAGTGTGGAACCCGAGGCTGACACCTTAGGGCGCTTGGGCACGTCTCGGGGAGTCTTGGGCACGTCTCGGGAAGTCTTGGGCACGTCTCGGGGAGGCTTAGGCACGTGTCGGAATCTTGGGCACGTCTCGGAGTCTTGGGCACGTCTCAGGGAGGCTTGGGCACGTCTCGGGGAGGCTTGGGCACGTCTCGGGGAGGCTTGGGCACGTCTCGGAGAGTCTTGGGCACGTCTCGGGGAAGCTTGAGCACGTCTCGGGGAAGCTTGGGCACGTCTCGGAGAGTCTTGGGCATGTCTCGGGGAGTCTTGGGTCTCGGGGAGTCTTGGGCACGTCTCGGAATCTTGGGCACGTCTCGGAAAGTCTTGGGCACGTCTCGGAGAGTCTTAGGCACGTCTCGGAGAGTCTTGGGCACGTCTCGGAGAGTCTTGGGCACGTCTCGGAGAGTCTTGGGCACGTCTCGGAGAGTCTTGGGTACGTCTATGAGAGCCTTGGGCACGTCTATGAGAGTCTTGGGCCCGTCTCGGAGAGTCTTGGGCACGTCTCGGAGAGTCTTGGGCACGTCTCGGAGAGTCTTGGGCACGTCTCTGAGAGTCTTGGGCACGTCTTGGGCCTCACACCTGGCGTGGTCCAGGAGGCCTGATTAGAAAAATTTCCGTTCTGTTGTCTTCTGATCCTCGCGTTCATTTCCGGGTAATTCCTCGTGACTGGTGTCTATAGATTCTTAAAGACAGAGATTCCAATGCTAAAAGTCTTTTTCTTCCTTGGGGGTTCGGTACGTCAGTGCCTCTCGGATCATTTGAACAGCGATTAAATCCTACAGACTTTATCGTTGTGTTATTGTTGTCGGGATTCGTTCCAATCAGTTTCACTGTCGCCAATCTGGAGGGATTTTTTGAGTTCGATAGTAAAACGTCTCCAAGTCTGTAGTCGCAAACAAGAATGAATACACAATGTCTACCCGAATTGGGTTCTTGAATCAGCTATTAGGGGTGTTCTTGGATCAGCTATTAGGGGGTTCTTGGGTCAGCTATTAGGGGTGTTCTTGGGTCAGCTATTAGGGGGTTCTTGGGTCAGCTATTAGGGGTGTTCTTGGGTCAGCTATTAGGGGTGTTCTTGGGTCAGCTATTAGGGGTGTTCTTGGGTCAGCTATTAGGGGGTTCTTGGGTCAGCTATTAGGGGTGTTCTTGAATCAGCTATTAGGGGTGTTCTTGGATCAGCTATTAGGGGGTTCTTGGGTCAGCTATTAGGGGTGTTCTTGGGTCAGCTATTAGGGGGTTGTGAAGGAATGGGTGAGGGTGGGTATACTCACCTAGTTGTGGTTGCGGGGGTTGAGCTCTGGCTCTTTGGTCCCGCCTCTCAACTGTCAATCAACTGGTGAACACGGGTGCCACAGAACAACACATGACTGCACCTTGAGTGTTCTGGTCTATAAACACGTTTATCATTTGTTCAAGTGTTCTAGCTCGGTCGATCCCTTGATATTAGTATTATTTTGTGTCTTACCAGATCATCTGCTTATTGCTGTTGGTAAGTTGCAAAGCGAATTCTTTAGCTGCTATAGAGAATGTGTGTGAGTATTTGGCCCATGTCGAGAGAGTTAGGGGCATTATTTGGCCCATGTCGAGAGAGTTAGGGACACTATTTGGCCCATGTTGAGAGAGTTAGGGACACTATTTGGCCCATGTCGAGAGAGTTAGGGACACTATTTGGCCCATGTCGAGAGAGTTAGGGACACTATTTGGCCCATGTCGAGAGAGTTAGGAACACTATTTGGCCCATGTCGAGAGAGTTAGAGGGGGGGGGGTAGAAATAGCCTAAGGTAATCTATCCCTTTGAGATGTATTTCTTTCTTGTCTCAATAAACATACTTGAACTTGAACTTAAGAGAGTTAGAGACACTATTTGGCCCATATCGGGACAGTTAGAGGACACTATTAGGCCCATATCGGGACAGTTAGAGGACACTATTTGACCTATATCGAAGGGGTTAAGACACCCTCCCAGCATCTATAAGACAAGCTCCACACCTCCTCAATATCGACCCAAATCACCGCTCTATTGTGGGGCAAAATATCTGTCCATTATCCACCTGTCAAGTGATTGTTTCATTGTTGGGACATATTTACCGACCCGTCAAGCAGCAGCAGCAGCAGCAAGCGTTGACATTGTCATTATCGATTACAATCGTACCACCCAGCTGACAGGTAATTATCGCCTGATTATCAGTGGCAAATGGTAGGGTAATTTGCCGCTCGCTGGCATGGATTGTTCATTGCCTACCGTCCGTAATTGTTCAGTAAGGTTAAGTAAAGCTGTGGATTGTTCACGGCGTCGAGGTTGTTCAGTTGTTGGTTAAATGACTACGCTTTGGCAGATTCCTTGGGGGGGGGGGGGATGGACAGTAACCACTAACCAACAGATGGACAGTAATTACTAACCAACAGATGGACAGTAACCACTAACCAACAGATGGACAGTAATTACTAACCAACAGATGGACAGTAACCACTAACCAACAGATGGACAGTAATTACTAACCAACAGATGGACAGTAACCAACTAACCAACAGATGGACAGTAACCACTAACCAACAGATGGACAGTAATTACTAACCAACAGATGGACAGTAACCACTAACCAACAGATGGACAGTAATTACTAACCAACAGATGGACAGTAATTACTAACCAACAGATGGACAGTAATTACTAACCAACAGATGGACAGTAATTACTAACCAACAGATGGACAGTAACCACTAACCAACAGATGGACAGTAATTACTAACCAACAGATGGACAGTAACCACTAACCAACAGATGGACAGTAACCACTAACCAACAGATGGACATTAATTACTAACCAACAGATGGACAGTAATTACTAACCAACAGATGGACAGTAACCACTAACCAACAGATGGACAGTAATTACTAACCAACAGATGGACAGTAATTACTAACCAACAGATGGACAGTAACCACTAACCAACAGATGGACAGTAACCACTAACCAACAGATGGACAGTAATTACTAACCAACAGATGGACAGTAACCACTAACCAACAGATGGACAGTAATTACTAACCAACAGATGGACAGTAATTACTAACCAACAGATGGACAGTAACCACTAACCAACAGATGGACAGTAATTACTAACCAACAGATGGACAGTAATTACTAACCAACAGATGGACAGTAACCACTAACCAACAGATGGACAGTAATTACTAACCAACAGATGGACAGTAACCCACTAACCAACAGATGGACAGTAACCACTAACCAGCAGATGGACAGTAATTACTAACCAACAGATGGACAGTAACCAACTAACCAACAGATGGACAGTAACCACTAACCAACAGATGGACAGTAATTACTAACCAACAGATGGACAGTAACCAACTAACCAACAGATGGACAGTAACCCACTAACCAACAGATGGACAGTAACCCACTAACCAACAGATGGACAGTACCAACTAACCAACAGATGGACAGTAACCCACTAACCAACAGATGGACAGTAACCCACTAACCAACAGATGGACAGTAACCCACTAACCAACAGATGGACAGTAACCCACTAACCAACAGATGGACAGTAACCCACTAACCAACAGATGGACAGTACCAACTAACCAACAGATAAACAGTAACCCACTAACCAACAGATGGACAGTAACCCACTAACCAACAGATGGACAGTACCAACTAACCAACAGATGGACAGTACCAACTAACCAACAGATGGACAGTAACCCACTAACCAACAGATGGACAGTACCAACTAACCAACAGATGGACACTAACCACGTCACCAAACACTGGCACTAACCAAGAGTGTCAGGGAGTGCCACCCCCCCCCCAAACACACCGGGACAGTGCCAAAACAGTAACAGATCAACAGACTGTGTAATACAGTGCCAGCCGATCAGTGCCAGTTCCTGTAACAGTGCCGGCAGGTCTGAGTTCACTGTCGGCTGATCTTACTCAACACGGTGTTATTATATCTAGATTTTTTTTAACTTTTTTGTGTAATTTCTTTCCTTGTGTTTCGTTCTTACTCGTGCATTGAGCCCGCTGTCAACTGCCTCACTGACCTCTGCATTGTTCTCAGTTTATATATATATATATATGTTGATGTTGTAGGATAGGTTCCGCCCGCGCCGCCCACGCTAGCCCTCGCCCGCCCTCGCCCGCCCACGGCCGCCCTGGTGTTAGAGAGCATACTCCCAGGCCGAGCAGGGGCAAGTTGAACCGTAATATAGTCGCCCGAGAATTAATATAGTGTATGTTCGGTGTATATCAGGGCGAGGTCTGCGGCGGCAATGACCGCTCGACCACCAACATTATACAACGGTATGACAATAAAGCACACACCACTGTCCTAATACACCCCCGCTACTTCTTGTCATAAATACACACACATACGTGTATGCGCTACACCTCCCTCTCTCTGTGTCTGTCTCTGTCTCTGTCTCTCGCACACTTAGACTCGTAGAGAGGCAGATCTTTGCGATAATGTTATCACAATGCACTTTACACTTTCACATAGATGGAGCCAAACATCACACAAGACGGAGCTCACGTGAGCATCGTTCTTGTCCCTCACTTTACTTCCATCCACTCCCCCCTCAGTGCCTGACGACACTCAACACTTGACTCAACATTGCCAGCCGACCTTACTCACGCCACCCACGTCACACACCCCATCAACCTATCATCATGAGTCAAGCGTACTCAAAATACCTCATGCTGGCTAACATGTGAGTATTGTTAGCTGCTCACAGCAACCACACACACCCATAACTCACACAACACGGCAATATCCGCCCAACCTAAAGTGTCAACCTATCTTTTTGCTACCTTTCTGCAGGAAGCCCGCCCTGGCGGGCAGGCCGGCCATTTTCTCTTCCACCTTATGCTTCTCTAATTTCTATCTTATTCCATTTCCTGTGCCTTGTCCCGGACTCAAGTGGAAGACCGTTCAGGGGAAATAACGAGAGGATTGGAACGACCACCCGCCGAGCGGATCTTCGCCCCTCCGTCAACAATGGTCAACTCTACCTTCCGGCCTTTTTATTGAGATCCTGCACAGTTTCCGGCCAGGTCACCCGAGGGAAGAGGCACGCCATGCAGCGGGAACTCTCCCAAGGTATTCCCAGCTATGGTAACGCCTTGCCGGTGGGCCATATCGACGGGGAGATCGCGCTCCTGCTTAAAAACAACTGCTACGATGTCCAACAGGGCTATTCAAGGTAACTATGAGGAGAGAGAGAAATGAGGACATGCTAGGCGGTGGAATACGTCCAGCCACTTGCCCTGATGACTCAAGAACATGCTGGCAAAAGAGCAGTGAGGTTACTGCCGCAGGATATTACTGGGAGCTGTAGTCAGCCGAAGTCCAGAGTGCGGCTGGAGGCACCAGGGGGCACTGACGGTGGCGTTATCGCGCGAACACAACCAGACAACAGAGGGAAACAGGAGGGCCAGGAGTGCTGCCGAGGAGGACCAGAGGGAGAGAGGTGGTATAGCTACAAGCGATAGCGTCGGTGGCGGGAAGCTGCAATGGCGGCCATATGAAGATAGCAGGAGAGAGAGACGAGAAAACACTCAGCCTCGTACAATATAATCACTTCTCCTGACACTGGGGGGAAATGTTACTTGTATTCTCGGTATGAAGCAAGAGTTATACGGCGAGGGGTGTGGAGGGCACGGAGGGCACTATCGAGATAGGATAGTGAGGAGTGAACTGTACCTGGAGTGGGTTCTGTGAGTTCTTCTACTCCCCAAGTCCGGCCGGGGGCCATGCAGGTCCCGACTTGTGATAACTTGGTCCATCAGGCTGTTGCCTCGCCCGACGCAGGCCCATTACAACATAGTTGGTCCGGCACTTCTTTAAGGAACGTATCTAATTTCTTCTTGAACGCGTTCACTTTGGTTCCGGCAACATTTCTTATAGTTGCTGGAAGAATGTTGAACAACCGCGGACCTCTGATGTATATACAGTGTTCTCTGATTGTACCTATGGCACCCCTGCTCTTCACTGACTCTATTCTGGACGGTAGAACAACGGTCTCGCTTCATGCAGGTCGGCGTTCAATCCCCGACCGTCCACACGTGGTTGGACACCATTGCTTCCCCCCCCCCCTCCGTCCCATCTCAAATCCTTATCCTGACCCGCCTTCCCAGTGCTATATAGTCTAATGGCTTGTCGCTTTCCCCTAATAGTTCCCTCCCTCCCCAGAAACAATTAGACAATTATTAATTGTCTAATAATTAATTGTATTAATTAGTAATTAGTAATTCTTCACTGCGTTCAATCCAGTATATTTTATGATTCAAATTTTGAGTTACTTCTTTAGATGCTCCTAACTTAAATTCGCTTCAAAGCAACAAATGTTTGTATGTACATAATTGTCATTGTCGGGGACAGGGAGCCTGCACCGAGTCCTATCTATGCTTAGGCTTATCAATATACCACATAGCCCAAACGTTCTCACGATACAACCCTCAACAGTTACTTAACGCCCGAACATATATATTGACTTAGCTGAACAGGTGGATCAGGTGAAAGAAAGAGTGCCTAACCAATTCTGCGCTACCCGGGGATCGATTTGATCCTCGATTTGCAAGTCCAGGAAGTAGACCACTGTGCTATAGAACCCGATATGCATAGAGTTACAAGTCCTGTGTGGGTCCTACAAGTCCTGGTGGTGCTACAAGTCCTGGTGGTGCTACAAGTCCTGGCGGTCTTACAAGTCCTGTGTGGGTCCTACAAGTCCTGGTGGTGCTACAAGTCCTGGTGGTGCTACAAGTCCTGGTGGTGCTACAAGTCCTGGTGGTGCTACAAGTCCTGGTGGTGCTACAAGTCCTGGCGGTCTTACAAGTCCTGGTGGTCCTACAAGTCCTGGTGGTCCTACAAGTCCTGGCGGTCCTACAAGTCCTGGCGGTCCTACAAGTCCTGGCGGTCCTACAAGTCCTGGTGGTCCTACAAGTCCTGATGGTCCTACAAGTCCTGGCGGTGCTACAAGTCCTGGCGGTGCTACAAGTCCTGGCGGTGCTACAAGTCCTGGTGGTCCTACAAGTCCTGGCGGTGCTACAAGTCCTGGTGGTCCTACAAGTCCTGATGGTCCTACAAGTCCTGGTGGTGCTACAAGTCCTGGTGGTGCTACAAGTCCTGGCGGTGCTACAAGTCCTGGCGGTGCTACAAGTCCTGGCGGTGCTACAAGTCCTGGTGGTCCTACAAGTCCTGGTGGTCCTACAAGTCCTGGCGGTGCTACAAGTCCTGGCGGTGCTACAAGTCCTGGCGGTGCTACAAGTCCTGGCGGTGCTACAAGTCCTGGTGGTGCTACAAGTCCTGGCGGTGCTACAAGTCCTGGCGGTGCTACAAGTCCTGGCGGTGCTACAAGTCCTGGCGGTGCTACAAGTCCTGGCGGTGCTACAAGTCCTGGCGGTGCTACAAGTCCTGGCGGTGCTACAAGTCCTGGCGGTGCTACAAGTCCTGGCGGTGCTACAAGTCCTGGCGGTGCTACAAGTCCTGGTGGTGCTACAAGTCCTGGCGGTGCTACAAGTCCTGGCGGTGCTACAAGTCCTGCTGGTGCTACAAGTCCTGGCGGTGCTACAAGTCCTGGCGGTGCTACAAGTCCTGGTGGTGCTACAAGTCCTGGCGGTGCTACAAGTCCTGGCGGTGTTACAAGTCCTGGCGGTGCTACAAGTCCTGGCGGTGCTACAAGTCCTGGCGGTGCTACAAGTCCTGGCGGTGCTACAAGTCCTGGCGGTGCTACAAGTCCTGGCGGTGCTACAAGTCCTGGCGGTGCTACAAGTCCTGGCGGTGCTACAAGTCCTGGCGGTGCTACAAGTCCTGGCGGTGCTACAAGTCCTGGCGGTGCTACAAGTCCTGGCGGTGCTACAAGTCCTGGTGGTGCTACAAGTCCTGGCGGTGCTACAAGTCCTGGTGGTGCTACAAGTCCTGGCGGTGCTACAAGTCCTGGTGGTGCTACAAGTCCTGGCGGTGCTACAAGTCCTGGTGGTGCTACAAGTCCTGGTGGTGCTACAAGTCCTGGTGGTGCTACAAGTCCTGGTGGTGCTACAAGTCCTGGCGGTGCTACAAGTCCTGGCGGTGCTACAAGTCCTGGTGGTGCTACAAGTCCTGGTGGTGCTACAAGTCCTGGTGGTGCTACAAGTCCTGGTGGTGCTACAAGTCCTGGCGGTGCTACAAGTCCTGGTGGTGCTACAAGTCCTGGCGGTGCTACAAGTCCTGGTGGTGCTACAAGTCCTGGTGGTGCTACAAGTCCTGGCGGTGCTACAAGTCCTGGTGGTGCTACAAGTCCTGGCGGTGCTACAAGTCCTGGTGGTGCTACAAGTCCTGGTGGTGCTACAAGTCCTGGTGGTGCTACAAGTCCTGGTGGTGCTACAAGTCCTGGTGGTGCTACAAGTCCTGGTGGTGCTACAAGTCCTGGTGGTGCTACAAGTCCTGGTGGTGCTACAAGTCCTGGTGGTGCTACAAGTCCTGGTGGTGCTACAAGTCCTGGTGGTGCTACAAGTCCTGGTGGTGCTACAAGTCCGAGTAACGTGGAGAGAAAGTAATGGAATCAAAGATTGCTCACAGGAACGGACGACCACAATGGATAAGAAAGCTTAAGAGGGTAGTGTGAGAGAGAGAGAGAGAGAGAGAGAGAGAGAGAGAGAGAGAGAGAGAGAGAGAGAGAGAGAGAGAGATGAAAATGGAAGGTAATTAGCAGGATAAGGTTTTGGGATGGGGCGAGGGGGGGGGGAAAGAAATGGTACCCAATCACCTGGGGACAGTCGGGGATTGAACGCCGACCTGCTTGAAGCGAGACCGTCGCTCTACCGTCCACCCCAAGTGGTTGGACGGAGAAAGAGAGAGAGATAATGAATATAATGCTGGAAGCGAACATCACTTCTTAAATTATGCAAGAAAGATGAAAAACATTAAAAAAACACTTTATATTTTGGAAACTTTAAAGTTGTTACCCATGCAGCCGCCGCCCCCCCTGCTGCTTAAGCTCTCCTTTCCACGTTCCTCCCACAGTCACCACCAGTTGTGGTGGTGTTGGTGTAGCCGCGGAGGCTTTTGTGGTGGTGGTGGAGCCGCTGAGGCTTTTGTGGTGGTGGTGGAGCCGCTGAGGCTTTTACGTCACGGCTGTTGATTTATCTCGAGGTGACCCCCCCTAACCCCCCCCCCATGAAAAAATGGGATGTGATCTATATTTGTCGTTTTCTTTTAGAGGTGTACAAGGGTGTGGGAGGGGGGACTTGCCCTCCTCTCCTCTCCCTTCCCACTCCCTCCTTCCTTCCTTCCTTCTCTCCCCTCTAACCACTTGGGCTGGACGGTAGACTGATGGTCTGGCTTCATGCAGGTCGGCGTTCAATCCTCCGACTGTCCATAAGTGGGTTGGGCACCATTCCTTCTCTCTCGGGTCCATCCTTAAATTCTTATCCTGACCCCCCCCCCCTTTCCATGTGCTATATAGTCGTAATGGCTTGGCGCTTTCCCCCCCCCCCTCCTGCAGGCTTGACTAGGGTGTACCTGGTTGGTTACACTCTTCTCTCACTAAGACGCGCGAGAACACTTTACACACACACACACACACACACACACACACACACACACACACACACACACACACACACACACACACACACACACACACACACACACACACACACATACACACACACACACACACACACACACACACACACACACACACACACACACACACACACACACACACATACACACACACACACACACACACAGCTGGAGGCTGACTCCATACACAGTTTCAAGTGTAGATATAAGAGCCCAATAGGCTCAGGAACTTGTACACCTGTTGAGAGGCGAGACCAAAGAGTCAGAGCTCAACTCCCGCAAACATAATTAGGTGAGTACACACACACACACACACACACACACACACACACACACACACACACACACACACACACACACACACACACACACACACACACACACACACACGCACACACAGTCATAAACAATTTCAAAAGCTCTCAATTTAACAGACATGCAAACAATTAAAACACAAAACCTAAAAATTAACCAAAAATAAATGAAACTGGTAAAACAAACTTAGAACAAACAAAT